TCTCTGCCCCTCTCCCCTCCTCTCTTCTCCTGTCTCTGCCCCTCTCCTCTCCTCTCTCCTTCTCTCACCTCCTGTCCCGGCCCTTCTCCTCTCTGCCCTCTTTCCCTTTCTCTGTACAGACTAATCCAAAACAAACCAATTGAATTAATTTGCATTCTGCAACAAAATCCCCCCAGATCTCTGCCTGGAGGGGGGCTAAGGTCACTGCACTGGTGATTATTTGACAGACAGACTCCCCGTTTCGGCAGCAGTTGAGGGGGTGGGGGTGAGCACTCCAGGATGGGATGGGATGGGGGGGGAGAGGGGAATGGTGGGAGGGTTGATGATGAGCCAAACGCAGATGAATCCCATCTGGGCTCGTTTAAGGGGCTGCTAGCATGGATCGGAGGGAGAGTAACAAACAAGGGCTTTGTGGAAGTTGTGTTCAGAATTATTGCTCTGCTATCTGATCCATCTGTCCTCTGCCTTTCCATCTGATTCTGTTCTGAGCAGGATTCCTACATTTAGGCACTTTCCTTTCCCCTTGCAACATTTGCACTCTTGGGCTTCCCCCTGGCACAGCTTCCCGCTGTGTAGCAGTCCGAGGTGGGCAGCGAGCTGCGTGTGAGGATGCGAGTGCTGGGGGTCTCTGGCCGAGAAGGGTGCCGGTTTAGTGTGCTCTTGCTGTACTGTCACTGCAGCTCCGCTCTGGGCTCTCAAGCACAGAGAGGTTTTGGAATTGCCTGCTGGGCTGCAGACTTCATTTGGCAGCTCTGTGGCATTACACAGAGCTGGAAATCCAAGGCTCTTCCTGCCATTCTTATAACAAACGCTTACTGGAGCCACTGCAGAGTCTTTGGCAGCGTCCGCAGCAGGGATGACCAACAGGGATGAAGATAGCTGCAGGGTTTTCTGGTTTTGATTTCATTCAAGGCCTAAATGCATGAATACACTTGGCTTTTGGGCTTAATTGGTCAAAACTGCAATTTGTTCCAGGTGCTTAGAGACCATTTAGAGAGACCTATAAACCCTGCAGGATGGTGTCTGTACAGGAGCTGAGCTGGTGTTCGGAAGCATTCGGTTAGGACAGCAATTTTCATCCCTACAACAGTCAAAATATTGGAACTGGCCAGCACTTAATCACCGCTTTTTAAAAACTTTGTCAAAACATGCATCCCAGATTAAAGGAAAAACAAGAGTCATGTCCTTGTTGATTTTATACCTTACAGTAACAAGCAAGATTTCCAAGCTTAGCTCTGTAGCTGTGCACGGAGCTCTGCTGCCAGCTTGGCATTTTAATCTCGGTAAACGCTGTCAAAACCTAGTAACTGATACGTTTTCAATTAGTCCAGAGAGCATCTGCAACTCCTTAGCGATGTTTGCAGAGGAGGGTTTCTCACGATCCCATTTTTGGCGTAGCGCTTCCATGCGACAGACTGGCGCGTTTCTCCAGGTTTTAGGAATTGTTGGCGGCTCCTGGAGTCATGCAGCTCCTGCTCTGTGGTCCCTCGCTGGCAGTGATCGCCCTCTGAGCCCTCGGATACCGTGTGACCAACGAGTCAGATGTCCCCGTAGGAATTAACAGCTGGGAGACCAGTACCCCGGCTGACCCGCCACTGGTCCACTACGGTCACTCTCTTCTGTGGGTCTCATTCGTGTGGATGATGAACAACCACTGTCAGCTCAATCTAAGCTTTCTTATCCTCTGCGGAAAATGAGTTTTATGGCACCGTCTAATACAACAAAACAACAAGGACACAGAAGCATTACCAGCAGAGAAGATGGTGCAGTAGTGTTACAGAATTTACATTATTTCAGAGTGAGATTGCTGGGGGGGTGAAAGATTTCCTGAGTGTGTCACTGTTACACCTGGGGACACAGAGGAGTCTCCCAGATGGGAGGAGTGTAAGTTCACAATGGAGGGGGTGAGACAGTCCATGGTGCATAAGGCCTTCATTACAGCACTGTTTGTAGAGGATATTTAAGTTGATTAAGTCAACTTCACATGATGCAGATGGCCAGCAACAGGCACAACCTCAGAGCAGCATGTTGTGACTGTCTTTTTGTGCAAAGCAGCCTGTTGTTATGCATTGGTTTGCGAACTGATTACTGCAACTCCCTGCACACTTGGGTTTCTTAACACAAACTGCACAAGCTGCACAAACTTCAATATGTGAAGAATTCAGCAATCAGAATCCTGACCAGGTCTTGTACAAGTGATCACATTACTCCTGTCACGGAGTCCTTGCACTGGCTTCCTGTCAAGTGTTGAGTCGACTTCAAGATCCTCATCCTATAAGGCTCTACATGGCTCTGTATCTCAGTACCTGTCTGACATACTATCATCCTGCTCCCCTCCTTGCAACCTTCCTTCGTCTGACTCTGGTCTCCTGTCTGTCCCCCAAGCACGGCTACACTCTGGGGGTGAGAGGGCCTTCTCCTGCTGTGCCCCAAAACTCTGGAGCTCTATCCCCAAGGATATCAGAGAGTCAACATCCCTGAGCTCTTTCAAATCAAGACTCAAAACCACCTTGTTTAGAAGGGCTTTTATGTAATTGGTCTCTACTCATTTGCATCTTCTGCTGCATTTCTAATCTCTTGTGTTTATTTGTAATTTATTTATCTCCTGTTTTTGTTAACTGTTTTATTCAGTTTTCGCTTTTGTTCCTGTAAATTGCTTTGAGAAGCAACTTTTGAAGACGCTATATAAACACGATGATGATGATCATTACTGTTGTTGTTGTTATTATTATCATTAAAAACAAATAGTCAGATTGCTAGAACAATAGGATCTGTATGGGAAGCTGTTTTTTTTTTTGCCTGGAGCTCTGACCTGTCCTGCTGGCTTGGTTTGACAGCGAGCTGCTGGAAGACCTGGAGAGATGCAGTCAGGCAGCTGCCATCGCTGAGTGTTTCGTGGAAAGGGTGAGTGTCCTGGGGTGAGAGGGAGAAGATTCAAACTGCACAAAACAGTCCACACGGAAGGTTGCCTGGTCAAATCGTTTCAGAGCATACTCAGGTAATCGCAACAGCACATGGTTTTATTTCTTTGCAAAAGTAGCACAGCTGGTGACTTTAATAGCTTGAGGTTTAATAAGTGTTTAAACTGCACTGCACCTGAATCTGTCATCTGCCTTTTCCAAACCTTTCAGACCTCCCTGTGATGTGGCAGGAGGTGGCTTAGTGAGGAAGCCACCATCTTGGCTCAAGGCCACCTCCTGACAGGCCTGGGTTTTGAGCCAAGATGGTGGTTACCTCACAGAGTCACTGCTCAATATACCACTGCACCGCACCCCCTCAGTACCTCCCCCACCCCCCTCCAGAAAGAAAAAAGTAAGACACAAACAAAAAATTCGAGCCCTTTGGTGAGGAAATGGCTCATGCCAGATGCTTTCAGACAGGCGATCTCTCACGCTGCAGTGTGGTGAGCCATTCGGTCACAGCTGGCCGTCAGCGCAGAGGTGGCTGCACAGATTTCGGCACGCAGGCTGAACCCCTCATTGTGGTCTTTTTTTACTGCTTCCTCTCCTTCAAGCAGGACCTGGGAAACACCCTGGTATCCTCAGGCTCCCGCTGTGTGCTTTCAGTGAATGCGCCAGTGTTACCGCAAATGAGAAAATGGGAGTGGAAATGAGCTACCAAGAAGTACAGTAGATTCAATTAAGCAATTACTGGGTGTATTTTTAGCTGAGGTACAGTCTGACCTGCTCACCCGGGGAAGTCGAACTGATCTGAGCCCAGAATGTGCTTCTACACCAAGGAGCAGCTGGACTGCACGCCTGCAGGTCTGGGTAATAAATCATCGGTGTACACAGACGGGGAGCAGCGTGCTTCAATGCAGCCAGTTATTTTGTCCAATTCAGAGAGGACTGAACAGATCTGGCTCTGGAAGCCGCTGCAGTCGGGTAAACAAGCTTTTCTGCAGGGCCGGTCCTTCTGGCCAACACGCTGCCTGGTGCCAGCCCGCTCGGCCAGACCCCTCTGAGATCCGCTTTGTGTCCTGTGAAAAAAGAAAGCTGTGTTTGGCCCCTGTTTACAGATGCTGATGTCTGCCTCTCCCTCTGGTCTCCTTTTGCAGAGCGAAGCCTTCGACATTTACACCCTCTACTGCATGAACTACCCCAAGTAAGTCTCTCGCGATCTCTGCTTCCTGGTGGACCTGAAAACTGTTCCCTTCAATTCTCAGCTGTGAGCAGGCTGCTGTTACTCCTAAAGGACTGAGCTTTCCCACAGTTCTAAATCCGACCATGCTCGCTCTCCGAGCCGCAGTGCGAATGTCTAGGATGGTCTCCAGAAAGTGGGAATGCCAGGGTAGTGGATTGCCGTGCTGGCAGGTGGTGAAGTGGCACCGGCACCTGTGGACTTGTGGGCTCAGCTAACCCCTCTCCTCTTCTCTCTGCCCCCCTCCCCACCTCGCTCAGCTCCGTGGCTGTTCTGCGGGACTGCATGAAGAACAACAGCCTGGTGCGTTTCTTCCAGGAGCGCCAGGCCACCCTCTCTCACTCCCTGCCTCTGGAGACGTACCTGCTGAAGCCCGTGCAGAGGATCCTCAAGTATCACCTTTTGCTGCAGGTCAGGAGAGGCAGGTCTCAATGGACAAAAAGCACAGGGGGGAGGCTTAGAGGTTATTTGTGGGCCCCCCCTGGAAAAATTTGCCAGTGGCAAAGCCAGTCTCCCAGACTGCATGGCATGAGGTGCCACTTCCAAAGACAAGAGACGGCCGGCAGATGTTATATGGCCTTGTGTATTTAAGGCACGCACACACAGGAATGAAACCACAGTGAGGGATGCAGATGGTTGAAATCTGCTCACTGAGCGCTGAAGGAGATCTTTCTCTCCGAGTTTGGCTGGAGCCTTGCGCAGATGTGATGTGACAGGGGGTGGGTGTTAAATAACCATCAGGAGGCACAGCTGGCACTGATCTCTGTTTGCCAGCCTGAAGAGCTCCTCTGCTTTTCCTTGTTAAAATCTGTGTCTGATGTTCCGGACCGCAGCCAGAGCCTTGATCAGAGTGTGAGGAAGGGCCAACAGATGTATCCTCTTTGTGTACAGGAGCTCTCCAAACACTTCGACAAGAGCGAGCCCGGGTACGAGGTGGTGGAGGAGGCCATCATCACCATGACAGCTGTGGCCTGGTACATCAACGACATGAAGCGGAAGCAGGAGCACGCCGTCAGGCTGCAGGTGACGCGTCGAGGGGGGCTGAGCTCTCGGCTTCGCGGGTCTCAGATCGCCGCACACGTATCCGGCCAGCAGGGGGCGTGTCGAGAGGGGCTGAGCTCTCGGCTTCGCAGGTCTCAGATCGCTGCATGTGCATCATTGCGGTGATGGCTGGAACTGTGATAGAAATAATGTCCTCCTCTCCGGTCAGTAGAGATTGCTGTCTAGTGTTTATATTTTCTTTATAATACCTCTGTGAAGTTGTGGTTCTGTGGGTTTGTGAAAAGCTGAAGCTAAAGCGTGGAGTCTGAGAGGCTGTGCCTGCCGCTGGTCTCTGTTCGCAGGAGATCGAGAGCCTGCTGCTGAACTGGAACGGGCCGGACCTGAGCGGCTTTGGGGAACTGGTTCTGGAGGGTTCTTTCCGGGTCCAGCGGGTCAAGAAGGAGAGAGCCTTCTTCCTTTTTGACAAGATGCTACTCATCGCCAAGAAGAGGAATGAGAACTTTGTCTACAGCACCCACATTTTCGTAAGCGCCCTCCCTCCAGCTGGACACCCACCACGTGCACAGCGGCGCACACCCTACTGCGGCCTGAAGGACAGGGCAGCTCCTGGTTTTCACACCGCTGCAGTACTTTAGACTGTCCGCAGCTCAGATTCACGTCTTCTCCAGCGCATGAGCAGATCCACATATCAACACAGTACAAACAGGGCTCTTGCCTGGCTTGCAGATTGTAGATTGTTTTAGTTTTTCTGTATTTTTGTCATTTCTATCCAGCTGCGACAACAATAAATAACACTCCCAGAACCGGGCAATGGTGTGCCATTAGAGAGCACGTGGTATTCACCTGTTACGGGCTGTCGGCGGTGTCTACCGAGGAGCGTGTGGTCCTGCGATTCTCACCCCTGCCTCTCTCTCCCAGTGCTGTAACCTGCTGCTGGCGGAGAACCTGAAGGACCCTCTGAGTTTCAAGGTGTCGGACCAGACCATCCCCAAGCAGCAGCACATTGTGCAGGTGGGGTCTGCTGGAGTGGGAGTGCGGGACTTCCGTAAGCAGGGGGCGGTCCCTCCACGGAAACTCCATCTGCCCATTCCCTCCATTTTCTGACAGCCAGGGCTCCCTTTCCCCAGCAACAGTCTCCAGCTGCTCCCGGGGGATTCCCAGCCCCCCCCCGAGGCCAGCAGAGAGATAAACAAAAACTCTTTTCCGGAGACACCAAAATCTCACCCCCTTTCAAGTCCTGAAGTGCCGGAACTGTTTGCTTCGGGTCAGCTTGCTCCCAGCGCGAAGCTCCCCCGCAGGGCGAGGAGAGACGAGTTAGGAAGACCTGCGTGAGTGCCGCTCGCTGCCCTTGAGGGGACGAACATAAGAGGAGCCACTCGGCTCAGGCAGTCATTAGCAGCTAATCGATCTAATTGATCAGCCATTTCTTGAAAGAAGCCGGACAATCGGCTTCAACCACATGGCTGAGTGGCTTGTTCCTCACTCCCACAAGCCCACGAAGAATTCATCCCCTAAACCGGACCCAAATCAGTCCCCCACTTAAATCATGATAATCCTGAAATCCATTTGTTTCTATGTTTCACAAGCTGCCAGTCAGCAAATACAGCGGTACGCTAACATGAAAATTGGTAGTTTGATGTGTACATACTTTGCATACAAAATAAGGTACAATAAACTGACACTTAAAAGATGCAAATCGTTCAGGCACTTCAAACTATTTCTGCTGGGTAATGTAATGTCCCTTATGAAATCTTTCTTCGGTGAATTTATCGTGGTGGTTTATCAGTTCCACTGCGGTTTTATCCATCTGTACTGCTGTGGTTTCCTGTGAGTTTAACCATTTGTTTACTGTTTACTGCTTCCTGTCCTGCACCATGTCAGCCTGGAACAGCATGGCATGGTGCTCCTGCGACAACCTGTAGTTGGGCACAGTGGAAGCAGACTGAAATATGCATATATACTGTATATATCCATAAGATAGCCCTGCATAACTACCATATTACCAAGACAGAAGTACCAAAAATCATCGTGCAGAATCTACGAAGGTGTCATTCGATGAGTGGTGTAACGGCGATCTCTCTGCAGGCCAAGAACCAGGAGGAGAAGAGGCTGTGGCTGCACTACCTCAAGAGGTTGATTGTGGAGAATCACCCAGCCTCCCTGCCACAGAAGGTCAGTGTGCTCAGGCAGATACAGGCACGATCGCGACACAGCAGCACCGCTCTCTTCTAGACCGACCCTCTTATCCAACGTATCTTACATTACTAGCCATTTATACCGGAGCGATTTAGGTGAAGTAGTTTGGTCAAAGCTGCAACAGCAGTGTCTCACCTGGGACTAGAACCTGCAACCTTCCAGTTTCCGAAGCCTGGATCCTCAGTGCTGTGCCATGCTGCTGTTTAACTGCTACAGGCTGAGGCTGGGGCTGAGTCGCCTGTTCGGGGAGTGTTAATACAGGCATCAAGCAGTGACGTGTGGGGAACATGGAGAAGGCTTGCCCCTGGCATTGCTGTGTGGCAGCACTTGATTGCCTTTAAACCCAACAGGCACCATGCTCGACCACAGTGCCTGCAGTGCTAAAGGAGATCAATCTGCTTCATTGTCAATCACCCGGTCTTTCAGTCCTTCTTCAGGCCCTGGCAATTGGCTGCCTGGGTTTATCAGATTGAACACATTAACTTTTTAAATATAAGAGGGATTAATTTCAGTAGTAGAGCCCGGTCTACAGATGCATTCAATTAGGAACTGAGTTTTAACTACTGTCAGGAACACGTGACAGCGTTTCTACTAGTTGAAAAAACACAGTGGAGTCCTACTTTGCAATTAGTGCGATTATTATTGGTCATTGATGTATAAATTATTATTAATGCAATTATTGTTTCCTCTTTCTCATCTAAATGACGAGTGCAGAACCTTATGAAGAATCTCTGCGTACCACTCGTATTATTACACAGGTTCAAACATTGCATAGATAAATGTGTATACTGTATATACATTATTATAGGATTTGTTTTGAACACTATCCACTGTCTCAGTGCTGTGAAATGTCAGACAGACTTCAGAAAGAAGCACTTTGGGAGAAACAGCATGGTAAAAGTTGAGTAGAGTGCAGTAAAGTGATGTGACATCATGGTAAAATTGTATAAACTAGTGATAGGAAACATGCAGCCTGGGGAGACATACTGTATGGAGGTCATGAAGGTATTCTTGGAATAAATCCATTTTATTAACACCAGCTTCAACCTTCAGAAGACTGGTACACATTTTGGGTGATTGGCGTCTTTGGGCTTCTCACTACTGCAGTGTCCTGGGATAACCCTGTTTTAATTCTGGTTGCCCATCACTGGTTTACGAATGAGAAGTCACTGAGACACAGAGCACACGCATGGTGCCAGTGATGAAAAACCATGGGAAATATACAAAAACAGGGCACAGAGCTATCTGTAGGAAATGTTTTCATGAGGCGTGAGATAGTAGTGTGCTTGAAGACCGGGCATTCCTTCCATGAAGCGTAAGAATGCAGAAACTTTTTCTGGTTCTCATGGTAAATTATTATCCATGCCAAGACAGGAGGCAAGCCTGTCAAGTGCACAAATACCACGCTGTTGAGGAAGCGAAGTAGGAAATTTAAGGCAGGTTAAAAAAATTTAGGAATGGGTGTCTTAATCCTGTCCCCTTCTCAGCCGTTCTGTGTTCCCCAAAAACTCGTCCTGTCCAGGCATCTTGATGCTGTGCTGCCTCCTAATGGCCAAACACTCTCACTGCATGGTTTTCACCATTCTGGTTGCGCACTGCAAATTCCCAGCATTTTTTGACACAAGGAGCAAGATCCCTTTCACTTTGCATCGCCGCAGAAGCCGTGCTGTCAAGCTGGCTGTAACTCTGTATTGGCCTCACTTGTGTCTTTCCCTTTGTTGTCTTTTGCAGGCCAGACAGGTGCTTGGTGACAGCTGTTGCCCATGTGAGTATTGCTGTTGCTCATTTGTAATCTGTTGTCTTCTCCTGATTTTACCTGAAGACCTTTTCCCACATTCTCTCCACTTATCCGTTAGCTGTCCTCAGAAAGATGTGTATTCCTGGCAAGGCTCATGGCAACCCAGAGCTCAGGGGTGCTGGATGCCAGTTGTGTTTTTCACCACAGCCGTGAGGTCCTATGGCCATCAGTCACTTGCTGAACATGTCTCCATTACCAATACAAGTATTTAAAGACAGCTGGGTTAGCGTCTTAAAAATCAACAGTGAAAACTCAATGAACTCAACAGGAAAGTCAGAGTTCATCAATTTAAAACTGAGAACAGGAAGCATTTCTTTACACAAAGGGTTGTGGGAGTGTGGAACTAGTTGCCCAGCCATGCTGTCGCAGCCGATACCCTGGATCCTTCAAGAAAGGGCTGGATGAGATCCTGGGATCAGTTAACTGCTGACTACCAAATGGAGCAGCTTGGCTGAACGGCACGCTCTCGTTTGTCACCTTTCTAGTGTTCTCATGTCTTTATTTTGTGTTTTGATGGACAGTTCCCCCTGCTCTCCAGTTTGATCACGAGCCCAGTAAGAAGCCGGCCGCCTCCCCCCGCCTGGATGATTCGAGGGGCTACCACCGGGGGAGGCGCCAGTCAGGTCTGTCCTGCCGCCTCTGCCCCCCCTGTCGCCCCTGTGTTTCAGCCCTGTGTTTACCAGCCTTCTGCACAGCACCTTGGTAACAGGAAGTGATGCAGCAAATGGTCACATGACCACTCCCAGGAGGCTGGTGACAACTGATGTTTTTTTTTTTTGTTGTTGTTGATTTGTGTGTGACAATTCAAAAGGGATGCACATGACAGTATTTTGACAGTCCCTCACAGTGCTTGTGAGGGACACACGCGGTGCACGTGCACAGCCAGAACAGTTGCTCTTCACTGTGCTTTACCTTCAGTTTCCTTTTGGCACTGTTTTCCACTCTGCCGACAATGACCTGACGGTGCCACTAATCTTCCACTGCAGGAGCTACACGGGTTTGTTAGGGAGTGCGATGATGTTAGTGTGGAGAATAAACAGCGACTGCTTCTGCCCTTTCCGTCTTAACCCCTTGCGTCTCGTCCGCAGAGCCCCCGGAGTTTATATACACCCCCGAAAAGGCCAAAAAAAGCTTCCCTCTGCTCCTGGAGGGCAACATGCCGTATAGACGAGGCCGGAGGCAGTCTGGTGAGTCCTAGCGAGACCAGTCCTCATTCCTGGTCTGTGTGCTTTCCACACACTTTTAGTAGATTGGCTCTTACATGCAGAAGATGTCAGCACAGGAGTGATTATGTCCCAGTGGTTCTGATTACTATATGTGGTTGAGTCTTCTATCAGGAATTCCTGCAAATGCAGGGCGCTGTGTAAGTGAACTACACCGGTCCTGTTTTGTGCTACTCATATTGTGCATATCCAGGTTTCTAATATTATGGCACTTGAGTAAAATTCTGACTTAAAACACAAGCCAGACCTGGGGGAACTCACACAGAATGCAATCGAAAGTATTATTCAGGAGCAAGAAGAAGGACATACTCCCTTCTTAAAAATGGACAAACATCTCAGGCAAGGAGTCCAGTCCTGGTGAGTCTGCAGGCTTCTTAGAGAGCGGTCAAGTAAATTGGTCCAGCTGGTTTCGGCTGATTTAGCTGGTCTGGAATTAAAACCTGCAGACACACACCTGCCCCCCAGAACCGGGATTGAACCTCCCCGGTCTGTCACATAGCCATGCTGTGCACGTTTATGTGAAAGATTCCTTCAAGAAACTTCCTTCTCTTAAAAAGACAAGTCTAAAAATATGTGTAAGGACTGGCCTGTGCCCTCTTGACTCTCCACTGCTTTCAGGGCTAAACACCAGAAATCATGGCTCGTTGTGAATCTCAGGGACTTTGTTGTTTTGCAGCTCCTGCAAAAGACATTGAGACAGCCTATCAGCAGAGCTGTAAGTCTGTTTGCTGTTATCGTTTTCTAGTGTTGAATATTTGAGAGTTTGAGTATTATTGCATATTACTGTAGTCCAGCATCCAGCAGCTTTTCTAGGTCTCTTTAAATCATCACTATCTGGAGACCTGGTCCAGCTAATCTCATGATCTCCTCAATCAGGGCATTAAGGTTTAGTGACAGTGTGGGCCTCCCTGGCTGGAGCTTGGTACCCCTGCTGTAGTAAAACGTGACACTGTTGTATAGGATGTGCTAAATGTCAATGATATTGACCCTTTGCTCCATACAAAAGCTGACCTCTGACCTTTCTTCTGTTCCTTCTCCCGTCCTGTGTGCTGTTGGTGGGGCGATCTGACTTCCAGTGAGGCTGAAGGTGAGCTCACTCGTACGTCTGAAGGGGCGGTGCAGGAGCTGAGATTGGGAAAGCCCACGCTGACAGCTCTACTGTCAGTTCTGATATGTTTCCACTGCAGAGAATTGATAGAATAAGCCTTTTCTGCTGTAATTCTCTAAGGTGCTTGTTGTCGCCTGGGAAGATCATCTCTTTATACTGGCGTGCTGCGCAGGTTTATGTCAGATTTCACAAGAAACACTCTGGGAACACAGTCTTGACTGGGATGTCGGTAGCTGAGGCTGAGCTTGAAGAGGGGAAACGAGAACGTTACTATCCTCTGACGGCAGTCCAGCCGTTCAGTTGGCCCTGATCTCTCTGTCTGTGTTGCGCGCAGCAGGCTGGCAGCGAGGGGGAGCTGTGCCCGGGCGCGGATGGCATGGGCTCCTCGGGCAGCGCCAGCACGCTGGCCTCCTCCGTCATCGAGGTGGAGGCCGGGCGCGACGACCTCGGACTGGGCCCGGAAGGGGACATCGCTCCGCCCACCCTGTCCATCACCGAGGAGATCTTGCAGTTCATCAGCCAGAGCCGGGCCCGGGAGGGCATGACGGACTGCCAGCTGGAGAGGGTGAGTCGCACACCAGCGAGTTTCCTTTCCTTCACGCCCCTGTGCCACTTGTCTGTAAACAGGGCATGATGTACAGAAGAAAAACACAGTCACAGAAATCAGAACAGGAGAACACAGAGATGAGGCCAATAGCCCCTTGTCGTGTGGCTTGTTTTGAGTAGCTAGTTTATTTTAGAATCCCTTTGAAGGATGCCAAGGCAAACAAAACGGCATTTGGGTGAGCTTTGGGATTTTGAATAGTTGAGTTGGTCTCAATTCAAGACCAACATGCTTCGTGTTTCCTTTTAAATAGGACCTGTTCATCGAAGCCATTCTTCTTGTCATTGAAGGCCATTCAATTCAATTCAATGTATTTTTTTAAATAAAAATAAAGGCCTTTCTTATGCATTGTTCAGTTTTGCATAAGTACCACAAATGTGCAGAGCAACCTCTGCCTGGAATGATGTCTCCTCAACCATTTTGCAATATCTCTGGAAGTATAGAGGGCAGAGGCCTAGTTTAGGGGTTAAAGTCAAGCTAATGTATACTGTAAGTACCATAGTGCAGGGGTGCTCATGGTTGTATTATGTTCTTTTCCACTTGATTTATCCTGCCCCCGTATTTTACCCAATGCTACATAAATTACAAGGGAGCACAATAATAGGCTCCACATGTACCGTGCAAAGGAACACTGCAGTGCAATCAAGATGGTGCAGGCAGAGGAGTCTGGAGAATGTGACAGGGATTGGGGAAACAGAACCCAGTCTTGGGAGTCCATGGCCTCCACCACAGTGGAGTAAATTGAAAAAAAAAAGGTTGTAGAGTGAGGTGTAGGTGCAACAAGACAGCCAGGCTCTTTGATCTGTGTAATCAAGAAAACCTTTGAATTTGGCAGGATCAGACGCAAATGGAGCCAGTGAATGAAAACTCAGCTGCTGAAGAGCTGTGTGCCGCAGAGCAGGAAGAGCATGAGGAAGAGCTCTGTCTCTCTCTAGAGACCGTCGGGGCCGAGGAAGAGGACGGCCAGGAGGAGCTAAGAGCCGTGCCCCCGCTGACAGATGAAGAAGTTCAGGTCGAGGAAGGAGAGCCTCCTGCTGCAGTCAGCGAGTCTTCTGAAGAGGAGGACCCGAGGAAAGGGGAGTCTGTGTCTTCCCCTTTGCACAGGCTGGACGAGATGGGGACCGAGGAAGAGCCTTCAGCTGTGACAGCGAACCCAGGAAGCTCTACAGAGCCTGAGGAGGAGGAGGAGGCTGCTGAGCCCACGCTTGAGGCTGAGCTGGAGCCACAGCAGGAAGGGGTGGCCCCACACCCCACCCTCCCTGGCAGCGCCAGCTCCTACCCAGCCTGCGGCGAGGATGAACCCGAGAACCAGCGCCCAGCAGAAGGCCTGGCAGGCCACAAGCCGCTGAATTATGCAGAGGCATTGGTAGGAAGTGGGCCAATGCCTAAAAAGGAAGCCATGTTGACCAAAAACGACCGGATGATCATCGAGAAGATAAGAAACTACTATGAGACGGCAGAGGTTAGCGGTGGCACCCTGCAGAGGAGAGACAGCATATCCTTCATTCCCACTGGACTGGTCAAAGACTCTGTTTCCCGATTCGACATCTTTGGGCAGCAGGACAGCCTCTGTGAGTCGGAAAGCAGCCGGTCGGAGGCGAGCGAGATGGATCTCTCCTCTCCGCTCACCCCTCTTCTCCTGCCAGCCACCGAAGACTCGGAGCTGGAGCTGAGCGGGTCTCTCGGTCTTAGTGACTGCGCTTTTGTGGAACGGGAAGGGACAGGCAAGGAGTCCTGGGACATCCGAGAGGAAGACGGTGGCTCTGTCACAAAGCCTGAGCCAGAGCTGGCATTCCAGTCCTGCACGGAGCTGATGAAAGTGTGGAAGGAGAAAGAGAAGAGGCTGAGCTGCAGCGAGGGAGGAAGGCGATTCGGTTTCAGAGTCAAGCGAGCCACAGATGGAGAAGCCCCCAGCAATCAAACAGCAGCCCCTGCAAACGGGCCGCTGGTGCTCGTAGAGAATGTGGAAACGGGAAGAGAGGACGTGGTTGTCCCCAGGCAGGACAGCGAAGACAGCGAAGACCGAGACGGGAAGGACCTGAGGGAACTGGACACGTTGAAGAACAAAATCGTTCACCAATCCACGCCTTGCGGGGATTCGGAAAGCACTCCGAGCCAGGACCCCCCCAGGGCAAAAGAGGAGCCCTACTCCAAGCACGCAGGGGTGACCCTTTGTGGGGCGCTCGAGAGGCCTCTCTACAGCGTGCCCCCGGACGTCACCGGGATCAGCCTGCACGAGGGAGGAGACGTGTGCCTCCCGGAGAACTCGGAGAAGATCCTGAGCAGGGTGCAGGTACTGGCCCGCATGTACAGTGCCAAGATCGGACGCATGAAGACGCCGCTCCACAAGAAGGTGTGGGAGGCCAGGGGGCCGGGGAGGCGAGAGGACCTGGGAGAGGCCAGGGCTGACCCAGCCTGGAGGAGGCCAGCGGCCCAAACCACCGCGGGTAAGCAGCCTGTCGCCGACAGCTCCCAAACACACTCCAGCTGGGCTCGCTCCGGGCCTGCAGCCACACACAGGGCCACCCGCAAACTTAACATCTCGGCAGACGCTCGGGGGGCTCGTTTCACTGCGAATAAACTGAATAAATTCATCTGAAGTGGCGGTGTTTGTTTTTGACGGAATGGCTTTGCTTTGTTCTGAGGACGTTAAAGAAAGATCGGGATAGGCAATAAAAACTGATTTAAAGTCGGACTAGAGTGTGTCCACCCCCATATAGTCCACACTGACCCCATTTGTTAATGCGTCAGTCAATTTTTAATATACATTGAAGCGCTTCGATGGAGTTTATTTAACTAAAGTTCGGGAGGGATGACAACAACCACGCTCAGTCATTCCCAGCCGTCAGCGATTAGCAATCACTCCCTTCGTCCTTCCTCCACCGAATGCTATAAATACCAAATGCGATATCTCTCTCTCCCTCGCGTGCGACTTTCGCATCCCACCTCTGCAGCTGCCACCACCCCAAGTCCACCTCTGCAGCTGCCCCTTGGTTACCTCGCGGGGGGTCCTGGCCTCCTCGTCCTATGGCCAGGAGGTCGGCCCTCAGCCAAGCGGGTTAAGCCAAATATCCACTCCACAATAGTTCGCCACGCTTTGATTTTGGGGCGTTGTCTTTCTTCATGAAACGAAAGAACCACCAAAAAAGAGTGTTTATGCCATTGTATAGGCTTGATGAAGCCTTCATTGAAACTGGGGTCTACAGTTCTGGCAAGGGATGCGGGAGACTGTTGACACTGACAAGAGCAGGGCATGATGGGGAATACCCAAAGACAGGAGGCAATGCATGCTGACAAGTCACCGATATGTGTGTGCAGTGTGGGCGATCACAAGGGCCCATCCAAACGCCAGATAAGGGAGGAATGGGGTTTGGGCGTAACTAAAAACCTTGTGTGGAAGGTTTCCTCTGGGCTTTCCTTTGATCTCTTTTATCTTAATATACTCTGCATTTTCTAATGTTCCACCTGTGCCAACTCGTCGGCTTTATCATTCTGATTCCCTCAGACAAGTCACAAAGAAGACTCAGGTCACACGAATCGCTTACTTTGTCTAAAAAGCATGTTCTCCTGCCCTCTTTTCTCCATCAGGACGTCCCATGGTGCCCAGAGAGCCGCAGCTGTATGGGCATGTCCTCATCCGAGAGCAGCTGTCCCCCACCTACCTGCAGGAGAGCAGGTGCATCGTCTCCGCACCCCGGAGCAGCGCCTCAGCTCTGGAGCCCTCCAAGACTTTGTTGCATCCTCTTCCATCTCCTTTTGAACCACCTGAAGGAGATGCAGAGATCCAGGAAACACCCTCCTTGGATTGCAGTCCTGAGACAGGTCTACCCAGCTCTGAGCAAGCACCACCATCCAACAGCACGGACTCCTCCCCAGACACTCCTCCCCCAGGAGGTCCATCCCCCAGAGCTTCGGAAGTTAACCAGGCCTCAGAGATCAACTTAAAAGACAAGCTCGAGGTTCTTCAGGACGTAACTCTGACAGATCAGTTTGGTTCAGGATCTTGGCTGTCATCGGCTGAAGCTGACAGTCCAGCACGTGCTCCAGGAAATTCATCGGAAGCCAGTCCAATGCCCTTGAAAGAGACTTTTGATAGTCCAGTGGCCTCTGGAAGTGGAGATCCCACTTTGGCGTGCCCTCTTCCTCTGGTGTGTGAAGAAGTGAACAAATTGTTATCCAGCACAACAGTCCTAGAAGGCTCTCTGGCTTCCTCTTCGGATCAGGTCCAGGCCCAGGATGAGTTTCATACTCTGCGAGAGGAGGATGATCTGCCCTACCGGAGTGCTGAAGGGGAAGGATGTAAACTCAGTTCTGAAGATAAAGACAGTTGCCAGTCATGTTTAGGTGCACCAGAGTGGGAGAGCGACATCACTATAAGCACATCAAATAGCGGGGAACAGCACGCCAGCAACAGGGGTGCATTGGCATCATGTCAGGTGGTGCAGAACCATACTGATGTTCCTGAAGATGCAGCGGAGTGTGCCAAACAGCCATCCCCTGCTACTTCCTTGTCATCATGCCTCCCATCTGTCCCCGAGGACTCCGCCGTTTTCACTTTGACATTCGCACTGGGTGATGGAGCTTGTGATGACCATCAGGCCGGTCAGAATGATGAGTCCTCCGTATCTCCACAACACACTCTGCCTCTGGAGGATGCTGGAGAAGGGACTCCGTTGGCATCTCCGATAGTACTGTTGCCTGCAACGTGTGCAGTGAAGGAGATTTTGGGGTCAGACCTTCAAGGCACTACGAGATCTGACCCACTCCAAGAAAAGGACGGGCTTCCTCAAAACCAAAGCTTAACAGCTCAGACAACTGATGAGGACTTGTCGGATACACAGCCCTCAGATTCGTCATCTTCAGAGCATCTGCCAAAGTTCACCAGCCAAAGACCCCTTAACTTACCCACCACACGAGGCAGAAGAAACCTGGCTCTGAGCCTGGAAAGACAGGGGTTGTCTGTCCCTAACCCAAGGTGTGTTCCTCCACTTTCTGACTTCGCAGTTGAGATAACAGGACATTCTAAAGATGTGGATAGATGGCCCACTTAAAAGAAGTTCTAATATTCAGATTTATAAGGAAATGTAGTAGCACAGTGTTGCACTTACGTTTTTGAGGGCATGTTACATTTTCCGTTCAACATGTTTGAGTCTGAGGTTTTGCCTGATACCTAGATCGTTTGTTCTGTTCATTTTTGTAGGGTGTGGTGAACGACTGCAAAATGACAAAGTACCAAGAAGGCTAAAGCTTTGTGTATCTTAAACTTAAAACTGTGCTTTTGCATGATTGGCAGTACAGTCGGATTCCCAATGGGTTAACTAGACTTTTTCCTTTCCTCTCATTCCAGGTACCCTGAAAGCATCAGAGATGACGTTTTTCCCGATACATCCCTGAGAGTTACAGGACACTCCCAGACTAGAAAACCAAATTCCCAATACTTACAGACCCCCTCAGGGAATACAATAAATCCCCCATCTGCCAATAGCCACGCAAGCGTGCCGTCTGCATTTATCCCTGGAGTTCGTCTTCGGTCACACTCTCCAATGAGAAACATCCATCCTCCATCTGCTTCGTCCAGCTCCAGTGCTCTGGCCAAGTCTTTGGCAGCTTCCTGCATCAGCCAGACTTTAAGTCAGACCCTTGCTAGAAGGAGTGCCAGACTGCAGTCTGTTCTTCCAGGAAGCTCAAATACAAAGAACCCTTCTGCGTCTCTACCTCCTGCTTCTGGATCGGGTCTGAGGTTTAGGTCCCCTTCACCCAGACCAAGCTCCCCTTTGGGATCTCCACAGAGCCCCAGTATTCCAGGTACACCCAAGACTGAATGTTCCTTCCCAGGAGACCCTTCCACAACAAGGAGTGGAAGCTCCCATCCTTCATTGTCCGGGACAAGCCCATCTCCCATGCTGTCTCCTCCACCGTATCGGAGCCAGAGGTCCATATCACCTGTAGCATCAGTTAGTCTCCAGCAGGTTCCTACCCCACCACAGTCAAGATCCCTTGCCTTAGAGCTTTTAAGTCACAGTAATTCAAACAATAACAACAATAAGGCATCCTCAGCAAGCCTAGGACAGGGAGTGTGCTCCCCAAATTTGGCAAGAGCTTCCATTTCTTCCCACAATCGAGCAGCCAGACCATTCTCTTCTGCCTCAGAGCCCAGTTCCCGGGTCCAGTCTCCTTCCCCATCCTGCGCCAGAATCTGCTCGCCGCCTCCCGCCCTGCTGCCACAGGCACAGACACGAGACTGCGCCACCTTGAAAGCCAAGCCCCCCCACCCCTCCCACCCCAGAGGGCCTCGCTCTTTCACCCCTCTGTCCCTCTCTCAAAACCGCTCAGGGTCCTCCTCCACCTGCTCCTCGCCTCCTTGCACCAGCCCTCGAGTCACCTCCCCGTCCCCCCTAGGGGTCCCTCCGAACACAGGTGCGCACCCTCAGACCCTCCGGAGACCACGAGGGAACAGCCTGCCCTTCATCGGCCGGACGGATGGGCCTCCCAGCCCTTCGCAGATCACTGGGAAGATCTCTTGGGGAGATGGCGGTCCTGATGCTCGGAGGTCCCTGAGTGTTGATCACGATCCAGGGCCGGTTAGCCCCAGGAGGACCTGTAGCAGCCCCCCTTGTCTCAGCCCGGTGTCCCTGTCTCCAACAAGGCAGGGCCCTCACAAGAGCAGCACCAGCATACAGGATTACACCAGCATTGCCTGGCCGTACATCCAGGAACTGTTGACCAAATATGATTCGTCCGATTTGGGAGATTGCCCTCAAAGACCCAGTGAGGACTCGCTGTCGTCGGGCTGCCCTGAGACCAGTTCGGAAGACCCGGATCTCTGTGACACCAGTTTCAGGAGCAGCATCATCTGCGCCTACGTGAACAGCAAGCCCCTCTCCCGAAGGGGCTTGTCCGAAACACCCGATCCGTGCATGGATGGCGAAGACGGAGACTCTGGTCAGGCCCGTGGCAGAGGCTCAGTAAAAACAAGCTACGCCACCACGGTTAACCTCCAGATCGCAGGCAGTGGAAGGATCACGTCCTTCAGCAACGCACAGGTCAGCCTGACCCAAACTCTGGCACCGGCGTCGGACAGCCAGAGCACGAGACGGGTCAACGGATGTAATGTTGTTGCGTCTCCGAACTGCAAAAGACTCTGATGGGTGATGATGCAGGCTGAAGCTTCCTTCTTATTTCAGTACAGAAGTGACGTCCCTCGTTTAATACTATCTTTTGATGATGTTTGCTCTTTTTTACCACCCCTAATGACGTGAAAGAACCGGATTTTATGTTTTACGTCCAGTTGAAGGGGTGCAGTACATTCCCATTCCAGCTTTTAGAGTAAATCTTATACCGGCTCTTATTTATGAAGTGGTTTTGTTTTCCCTGTCTGGCACTTATTGCTGTTTCCTCATTTGGCACAAGGTCTTTAGGCTGAGAGTGGGTCTGACGTGTCTGTGATATGAACTCGTATTTCAGGCTAAACTGAGATGTTAATGTTTTGTGTATTAGAAATGAAACTGGGCATAAAATGGCAGAAGGGGGAACTTCTCTACAAACTGAACAAAACTGACTAATGCAAGAGGTGAACTCTCAAAAACACGGAGAAAGGGGGCCATGTCTGCTTTGATGAAAGTGAGAAAAAAGCAATCCTACAGTATCTTTCCTCTGGGTAGAGGCATCATCAATTTCCACAGCGTTCCCAGAAGGTCATTTTCAAAACTTACTCTGCACAGTGAGACAGACAAAGGTGTCTCATAGTTACTCACCCAGACACGTTGTTGAATCCACTACATGGGGATCATTGGAGATTCAACAGCTCTTGGTATGCCTGGGCCAGCTCAGGTGAGGTGAGGTGGGGTGCCTCGGTTCTTTTATTTACCCCTTCGGTTGCTGTGTCACCCATTTAATTTCATGATTGTGGCCATTGCTGGTGTGTCATGTCAGACTCAGGACAGTTTCCTAACTTTTTATTTCCAAAAACCAGACATCTAAAGTGATTTAAAGGGACCAGCTGTTTACTTATGTAATCTGGGGCATTTTTGGTTGCAGTGGCCCTGAACCCACATGCCCTGTAGGGGGGGTCATTCATCACGACTTCTTCTGAAATTCCAAGACTCTTTTCAGGGACGATACCAATATCCAGAGGCACGAGCAGCCATCACAGAGCCAACAAGCAGTGTAGAGTCTGTGTTCTGCATTCATTTGCACAGGGTGGCAGCTCAAGCCTTCCCATTGGGTCTGGCTTCCTGCTTGCCCTGTACCTTCTCCCTGATAACAAGCCATCGCATTCCTCACTGCCCACCTCCTATTTTGCACCATCTGCAAGTTAGCAGAGTTTGTCAGTATTGGGTTTGAATGTTCAGTATTGTCTGTTTTTCATTTTTGTCGCTTTGACTGCCTCACTCATGTTGTGTTGTGTGTTTATCGTGAAGTGGATAATACTGTAAAAAAGGGAACAATTAAAAAGCCTAGGAATTCATTATTAATGTTATCGACTCGTGGTTTCATGTGGCGTTTGTGTACGTCTGCAGGCGATGAACGAGAGGAAGAGCTGTTTCTCCCTGTGACGTCAGCACACAGCCAGTAAACAATTCAAGTCCAGCATCAAAACAAAGCTATTTGCACCAATTCATTATGAGCGCAATATTTTTCTTCTTTGTGAAATAAAAACTGTTCTATCCAACTTTATCTCGCGATCTCTTGGTTTTCTGGATCAGACAATGATTTAGAGTCTCAGGCAAAGCCATGGAACAACGTGGCTGCTCATTTCTTTTCTAGGAGGGGTTTGGTTTTACATCAGCTTGCAGAGGACGTCAGAGAAGTATGTGCATGTCTGTGTTCCAGCAAGGAGAGACGAGTTATTTGTTCAGCAAGTACTGAAAACCCTGAAATTAGTTTTAGAGGACCAAGGAGAGGGCTTTTCGACTCTCCATACGATTCCAACAGGACAGAGAGAGAGCATGAGAAGTATCAGACACATTTGTGATCAATCATATTTTATTATAAATCCAGACAAGATGTTGCACATTGAAAATCATGTTGTTGTTACACTGTTTAAATTCAATCAGGCAAAACAAGGAAAACGTTTTGGCATGAAAATCGCTATATAGAGTACGGCACTCTATAGAGTGTGAGAATTGCTATACAGCTGTTTTGCTAGACACAGTGCGCCCACTACCCACTCTGCTGATGGGGACTCATCCTTGTGATTTCCTATGTTTCTTGTGCTGGGAAGCCCGTCGTTCTACACTTGATTTCTGTGTTTCATTGACAATGGGGTTTGTGGTGACCTCGTGTCACCCCGGGTGTCACTCGGAGGGGTACGGCCTGGGGCCCTTCAGCAGTTCTGAGGACCTCACTGTTCCTCTGTACGGGACCGAGAGAACAGTGCCCCCTGCCGTCACCCTGTCCTGGTTCCTGGCTGTGTCCCTGTCTCGGGCCGTTGGGCCCCCCATGAGCGATTCGATGGGGCTCATGGGGATCCCGCTTGGCCGGGCTGACTTCCCTGACGTGAGCGATTCGTACGGGGTCAGAGTGTGCTCTCCGGCCCGCAGGCTGACTGGGACGGCCTGCTTCTCGGGGGCCGGCGCGCCGAACACGCCTGGCGGCTTTTCCGGCCTCCCTGACGGAACCGTCTCCCCCGACAGCGACGTCCCCTCCCACCTGAAGAGCACATGCCTTCCGCCTCCCAGCTCTGCCTCGCCTCTTGCCCCGGAGTCCGTCACCTCCCCGGGCGGCGCGCCCCCCTGCTTCTGCGATTCCGAGTCCTTGGATCCGGGTGTCTCCTCGGCCTTCCCCTGCTTCGCCTCCCCAGCGCCCCTCTGCTCCTCTCCCTGCTTCTGGTCCTGAAGGACAGTGGGAGAGTGAGACCGCCTGAGACCCCCTCCCACCCCATCAGCAGGGTCCCGGAGTGCCGGGGGGGGGGCCCAAGCCTGCAGCACCGACCTCAAGCTCTGCTAACATAAAAGGGCAGCTCCGGTGCTGCCTTCTTCAAGAGGTACAGTGAGCAGCAGGTTTGTGAGAAAACAAGACTGTGGTAACGTGAGAGATTGTGTGTGTGTGGAAAAAAAAACACAAGGACTTTATACCTGAAACTGCTCATCCTGCTGAAGCACTGGCTGTCGTTCTTACTCCTGCCCATTTCTACAGTGTGTACTTTCAGGAGCTCAAGACCCAGGTTTCAAATATCCTACTTGTTTGCAGCTTATCGATCTGATGATAAACTCCTGCGTTTTCATGAAAATTAAACTGCTTTTACAGTGTGAGAATGAGCAGCCTGTTCCAGACACCCACAACCCTTTGTGTAAAACAGAAACATGTTATTTTTACATGCATCTATATGAAATACAAACTGATTTACTTTCTCTTTGTCTTCTCACATCTGCATAACATCAGGTATAAGAGACCTTTGTACAGTACAAACCTCATTGAGGCCACTCTGGCAGATAAAAAAGATGCCTTTTATCAGTATGATTATGCTGGATTTACTCACCTTCTTGGTTTTCTTTTTCTTCTAAAAGACAGAGAGAGAGTGATATTAGAGACAGCAGCACATCTGTCTTGATGAGCACCAAAGATAGGGTGCTTTAAGGACGCATCAGAGAAAGCAGTCTCACTGGATGCATTAGAGTTTGGTATGGCAGTTGATCAGCTTGTGACCATAGAAAACTACACTGGTACAGAACTCCCCACCACGCACTGCCTCAGAATGGCAAATAATAGAATCAAGGATCAAAAGCACCCTGCTCATGCACTTTTCTCTCTTCTTCCTTCTGGTAGAAGATTCAGGAGTATTAAAGCCCAGACCTCTAGGTTCAAAGAGAGCTGCTTTCCCACAGCCAAAAGACTCCTAAAATCCAAATGAATTTCGCACACGTCTGTTGTCTGAATGCCACTTAAGACCATAGCTGCCACCATGTTCCTGTCTCCAAAGAATGTGTGATGTCATTTATTAAATGGCAGAGGAATCCTACTCCGTTGGACCCCAGAGCAAGGCCCTTAACCCCAGCTGCTCCAGGGGCGCTGTATAAATGGCTGACCCTGCGCTCTGACCCCCAGCTTCTCTCCCTGTCTGTGTGTCTCATGGAGAGCAAGCTGGGGTTGGCGAAAAGACGAATTCCTAATGCAAGAAATTGTATATGGCCAATAAGGTGATCCGATCTGATCTGAAACAAGTAAGCAAGTAAGCATTTCATTGTACTCAGGTACACATGGCAATAAACGTGAAACTTGAAACATGAGTGGACAGAGCAGGACAGTGTGGTTAGCTCCTTGCAGGCCACAGAGTTCCCGAGTTTCACTCTAATTGAACTAATTATTCCCCTCCTCCAGATTTTTTAATTGTTTTCCTACATCTTGAAGAACCTACAGGTGCTGCAGGAAATACATTCTTATGAAGACATCAGTCTTTGTTTTGGACGCAGAGCTCTACTGCACTGTCAAGTAACAAAGTGTTGATGCAGGAACATTCTCGTGACTGCGAACGTGTTGCCTGTGCCGGTGCAGGGGTGTACTGGCCGGCTGATGGTAGGGCAGGTCAGAGATTCTGAACAGGGAACAAATAACAGCAAAACACAAGAGCAGCGACATACCTTTTCCTCGTCCTCGCTGTCTGAGGAAGAGGAGGAGCTGGATGAGGAGGAAGAGCTCGAGCTGGAGCACTGTGGGAGAGAGCAGGTTAGTGCCCTTTCTCTTCTGACAGCAGAAAAAACAGATCTCCTCAAGACTGACACTCTGAACGCGAGAAGACCTTCGAAAGGTCACCAAAAACATCACATATCTGCACCACCTGACAGCCACAAGAGAGACTGTAATTGCAGTTAGTGATGCACCAAAACTCAGTACCATACCAGGTATCTGCATGGTCGCAGATTCTATGTTTTGAGTGGATAAACTCGGAAAATACTGTAGCTTGTTAAGAGTTTATTTCTGACTCTCCTTACCTTCTTCTTCCTCTTCTTCTTCTTCTTCTTCTTCATCTTCTTCTTCTTCTAGAGACAGGGAGAGAGAGACATGAGAGACTGCAGGACACACAGACATTGAAAAAGGGTCCAGATATCTGTCAAGCCGAAAGGACGGCACCTTTTTATCACACTCGCTGTCCGAGGAAGACGAGGAGCTGGAGTCCTGGAAGAGAGGAAGGCAACAGGTTAGATTTTTATCGAACAGTTTGACCTCTCCATATTTCCACACTTTAGCTGTCTTTCAACACTATAGGTGTTTTTTATTACCATCCAATATTTTAATTATCATAATATTATAATTATCATATACTTAATAAACAATTAAGGTAGTAAAAGGAAATATACACCCACACAAAACACCCTCTTACACCCCTCCACCTGCCAGAAAAACAGTTGACATATCCAATAATACATCATCAGTTAATGGGGAAAAAATATAGTCATATTTCTATATATGATTTCATATTCACATTTATAAGAATATAGTATATTTTTGAATAATTAAACAATTTACGTGAAGAAAATAGTCATTCAATTGAAAAATGATTACCTTTATTTTTCATTATTTCACATAATATTATTCCTTCTATAAGATAGATGTTTTTCCCCATCTATCTTCAAAATGTTTATTCTGATTCCATTCCATTTCATGAACTTCACTGACTGATTTGAGGTGCTTGTGGTTTAAGCCAGAACCACCTGCTGCACGTAAAGACATTCTCGGTCTCACTGCTGCAACGCTGTGCTTGCAGTGATCAGAAACGAACCAGGAGGAGGTGGGCCTGCGTCTGACAGGGGAATGACTGAGCTGTACTCTAACCTCCCCTTGAGCTGAGGTGGCCCGGGTTGTTAGACACTTAGATGCTTAAAACCACAGCAGCCCTTCACAGGGATCGCCGGTGCTCAGTGTCTTACTTGGTCCCATTTTGTGCTGTCATCCTGGGACTCAGACTTCATCACGAAGACACGAGAGGAGCTGTGAGCTACCTTTTTAGAACCTGTGCTGTCGGAGTTCGGGGAGCTAGAAGTCTTTGAAAGGGAGGCACAGGATTAAGATCCTAATATTGGGAAAATCGCAAAAAGTCCACCCTGTCAAAAGCTGTTGAAAGTTCCCTGACGTCCTTTGCTTGCCATCTTGAGGGGTCATCCTGCTTTCTTGGTTTTTATCTGAATCATCCTTTCAATCTCTAGAGGAGAGCAGCAACAAGTGTCTCTTCACCCACTTCTTACCTTCTTCTTGCCTTTCTTCTTCTTGTCCTTCTTGTCTTTCTTCTTGTCCTTCTTCTTGTCCTTCTTCTTGTCCTTCTTGTCTTTCTTCTTCTTGTCCTCATCACCACTCAGGACGGCCGGGTCTCTCTGCTCTTGCGCCCCCCCTGCAGGAGGAAATGGGTAAAGCAGAGAGAGAGAGTGTGAGTACAGTAAACCCCTGAGGACGGCAGCTCAGAAGCTGTCCTCACAGATACTGTCTCTTCTGAGAAGCGTTTGTTGTGAAAAACAGAAGATATGTTCCAAACCATCAGAGGCTGTTCAGACCAACTAGCTTATTCAATATGTTGTTGCTGGTTTATGTGAGGATGTTAACCACCTTATTTTTTTTTAAAGAAGATGAGCTTACTTCCTCTTTAAAATGTAGAGGTGCCTGTATTTTTTGGTTCAGGCGGAGTTTTCATTTGAGTGGCATTTGGAATATTAAAAATAGAATGGGGGTCAATGGAAAGTACAGGAATTCAGAGCACTGCAGCCTCAAGCTGGGGTTTCTCAGTTCTGTGAGGATAAATGGTTGCAATCGGGGGGAAAATTTGCTGTTCAGAATCGTTTTTAGGGGAGCAGCACATCATGCAAAACTTAATTGAAAAACTGTAAACATTTAAGGGTGACAGCTGCATGTGGTTTATCACTGTTGCTTCACAGCTCTCGGTCCTCAGTTTGATTCTGGACAGGAACACTCTGTGTGGAGTTTGCATGTTCTCTCAGAGACCCACAAGCTAGGTTAATCCTAAATTGTCCCCCTCCATTCTGGGAAAGGCTCTAGTTTCTTGCATCCCACACCAAAATAAGTGGCTTTCTGCAGAAGCGCCTGCGTTACTCCGCGGCCACACACAGCCTGTACTCACCGCTCTCACAGACGGCACCCACACTTTCATCAGCAGCCCCCTTCTCGCCCTGGCCACCCTGGCAGACAGGAGAGGAGTGAGCGGAGGTGTCGTCCGGCAGCACAGCTGACCAGCTGCTCTCCACGTGCACGTGAGATGTCTGTGAGAAGCTCATGCACGGGAGACACTGCCTCGCACGGAGTCCCACCTGACTGCGCGTAACCGGCTTCGAAGTGGGACACTTTGTTTCGTCTTTTTTATTTTAACAGCGGCACAAACAGCAGAACCAGCTCATCGCCGACTCTGAGCTCAGAGGCGTCTGTCTCT